ACTCAGGACAGAGCCAAACCGTAAAAACTGTTCCCAAACTCAGATCTTGGAATCTAGATCTGTTGTTGTTATGTGTCATTGAGTCGCCTTCTACTCATAGCGACCCTATACACAATAGCTCTGAACCCTGCTCTATGCAGAGCTAATTTCATTGTCTCTGACACATCTCTCCTGCACTGTCCCTCGACTCTTCCAGCCGTGATGTCCTTCTCCAAAGACTGATCCCCCCGGCTACATGCCCAATATATGTGAGATGGTATCTCAAAATCCATCCACACAATAGCAAGGAGTTGGAAACAACCTAAGTGCCCATCAACAAACGAATGGATAGAGAAGCTGTGGTATATTCACACAATGGAATACTACGCTGCATAGAAAAACAAGGAACTCATGAACTATTATTAAAAATAGGTGATCCTGGAGGACATTATGCAGAGTGAAATATTTCAGTCACAAAAGGACAAATACTGCATGGTGCCATTGTTGTAAAACAGGACTGACATTGGGGCTGGGGGGAGACTGAGAAAGATGAGATAAATAATGCACACTGCATTGAAACAGATGAGGGAGAAAACTGTATACAAGGGATATGTGATGAGGTATTATTGTCAGGAGTTCAGAACGAAGGCTGCATAATGGAGTGGACCTGGGAGGAGGGATTGTAAAACAATGAAAGACTTTTACTTTTCAAAGAGAAGAGTGTATTGGGGCGGGGAGGGGTGGACAGGGAGAAAAGTCCTTCAATGAATGAATGGAAATCCGAAGTCTGTAAATTTTCATTAAAATGAATAAAAAAAATTTAAATGTTACTTTTATAGCAAAAAAATGTATAAAAAATTAAATTAAAGAAAAACAAAAACAAATCCATACCTCCAAGGAGCCGCTTGATTTCATTCTCTTAAGGACAGACCTATTAGTTCTCTTGACAATACTCTTCTCCAGCGCTACAACTCAAAGGTTCTTCTTCTATCATCCTTGGTCATTGTTCAGCTCTCTGATGCATAGCAAGTAATTGAGAAGACCATGGCCTGGATCAGACACACCTTAGTCTCTAGACTGACATTATCGCTTTTCAGGCCTCTGGAGAGGTCCCTGACGGCACATTTCCCCAATATAATTCATCTTTTGATTTCCTGACTGCTGGTGCCAAGAGTGTTGACTGTGGAGCCAAACAAGCTGAAATTGTTATCTATAACATTAAAAAAAACAACCCAGGGATTCCTCCCTCCCCAAGGTGGCAGCTGTGGAAGATGAATTTCTACTGCCCCGGCTCCGAGAGCTGTTCAAAACAAGCAAGTAGCTTCTTCTGGACGAAGTGGAAGTAGTGACTGAACCCACTGGTTCCCGTACAGTCCAGGGTAAGGAGTTCAAGGCACTGGATCTCCTTGAGAAGGTTGCTGAAATGTTATGACAGCTTGACTTGTTCAGCCGAAATGAAGATTTGGAAGAAATTGCTTGTACTGACCTAAAGTGCCCGTCAGTGTCTCAGCATTTCAGGGAGCCCTGGCCAGGGAACAAGTCAACACCAGCAAATGTCTAGACCATTTGCAGTGGCCTCAAGAACAGTTTTTAAACTGCTTAACTCAGTGCCATTATTACGTAGCAGGGTTTGACCTGCCCCAAATCAAGAACAACTTAGCTGAAAAGAACACTGCTAGCCCGTCCAGGACCTTCCCTAACCTCGTTCCTGTGACAGGCCAAGATAGATCCAAACAGAAGGAGATGGAAAGTGAATCGTCTGCACTGAAATCAAGCAGAAGATGAGCATGTTCGTGAATATTATTCACCTTCGGAGGTGGATTGGTATTAGCTTTGACGAGATTGAGAGTATTGACCAAGAGATAAAAATCCTTAGAGAAAAAGAGTCCTCAAAAGAGGCATCAACTTCTCACTCATCTAGTCAAGACAGGCCACCAAGGGCCTTCATTCTCACTCGGGACGTGGCCCAAGCAGACGTGTTTGGAGTGGGTTATCGAAGCCTGGAAACCATGGCGGTGAATGGCTGGTATGGTCAGCATCAGAAATATGGCACATTACCACAACAGGGAATAACCAGGATAACATCAGCAGAGCTCACGAAAGCAGCTCCACCAGAAGATCAGGAACAAGAGGAGGAGACAGATGAAGACAAAATATTACACAGAACCCGAGAGTGGAGTGACTGGAAAGACACCCAGCCCCGGGGTTATGGCAACAGACAAAACATGGGCTAATCTTCCCACCACGAGATGAAACTAGAGATGCTCAACATCTCCTCCTCTTCCAAGGAAAGAGGTACAACCTTCCTCTTCCTCGGTCTCCTTCTTCAGCTGTGCACAACAAAAGCAAAAATGCTTCATATTGTTTTAGGTTCAATAAAGTGTCAAATGATTAAGTGTTGTGGGGGGGAACCCCACAAAACCCGAAAAACTAACTGAAAACACCTGGAAAGATAGCCCCCTACCCTTAATAACAAGAAGGTCTCTGTGGGAATATGAATGGGTTTTATATTTGTACTTTCTTCTATTATGTACTCTGTAATTTGTATAAGCTTTTCATGTTATTTTTAAAAAGAGAGTATGCTTTATAATATTAAAAAGTGAAAGTTGTAGGGAGCTCTGGTGGCCTAGTGGCAGGAAAAGTTGTAATCACTGTAATTGATTTATTGAGCATTGTAAATTAGTGAAGTAAGGGTATAGTATTCTATAAAAGATACTGAGAAAAATTTCCACGTGAGGAAAAAAATCGCTCCATTGGGTCTGTATCTCACAAAAACTCAAACTCTACATTGGAACCAATTCGTAGCTTTCAGAGGCTGTGAACTACTCAAGAGGAGATTGCCCATCTATTCCTCCACAGAACAACTGGTGGATTTGAACTCACTGGCTCTGTGCTGGTATGTCAACTCCTTACCACTAAGCCACCAGACCTCCATATTCCACATGAGAATGAATTTTGTTTGAACATGTAATTCCTCTATTGGAAATCTATCCTAAGGGACAACAACATCAGCAACAAAAATTCATTGCCATCACATTGGGACCGACTGGGCTGGTCCACCAGTGGGTTTTCCGAGGCTGTAAATGGTACAGGAAGAGACTGTCCATCTTTCTCCTGCAGAGCAGTTGCAGGATTTGAACCACTTACTTTTGAGTTGGCTGCTCAACTCTTTAATCAATAGGCTGCCAGAGCTCTCTGAGCCTAAGGAAAGTTGTCCATCACTTTACTGACAATTTTGTTTCCCTTGAATTGTTGTTTGTTTATTTAGAATTGCATGAGACTGGAAACGACAGAGTAGGGGAAATAGATCTATCAGATGCAATATTTTGGAATCACGAAAAAGGATGTTTGATATTAAAAAGAATTCGAAGAAGAACTTTTGCAAACATATATAGGAGTTTGTTTTGTGGTTAAGGGTTGTGGTTGTTTTTTTTTATTAGTTTTAATGAAAGTTTACAGAGACTTTGGATTTCCACTCATTCATTGTTGCACTTTTCTCCCTGCCCACCCCTCCTCCCCCAGTTCGTTCTTCTCTTTGAAAAGTAAAATTCTTTCGTTGTTATACAATATCTCCCCCCAAGTCCATTCCACTTCACTCTGGACTCCTGTCATGACAATAATACCTAATCCCTTTTAAACAGTTCTCTCTCTCATCTGATTCAATGCAGTATACATAATTTAGTCCATCTTTCTCAGTCTCCCCCCAACCCTCATGTGAGTCCCGTTTTACAACAGTGGTGCTATGCAGTATTTGTCCTTTTGTGTCTGAGGTATTTCACTCAGCATTATGTCCTCCAGGGTCACCCATTTTGTGTAATATTTCATGAGTTCCTTGTTTTTCAATGGAGTGTAGTATTCCATTGTGTGAATATACCAGAGATTCTCTATCCATTTGTTTGTTGATGGGCATTTAGGTTGTTTTCAACTCTTTGCTATTATGAACAAAGCGGCAATAACATGGGTGTGCAGTTTTGTGGTTAAGTTTTAAAACCATAATGTACAACTGTGTATGCAGAAAATTACAAATATGTTCACACCGAAAAATGACTGGAGGACCAACCACTCCAGGTGTAGGGTCTTGAGGTCTCTAATATAGGGATTTAGCTTTCCTGTTTATAGTACTGCGCTGACGATGCCTGATTTGTATGTAACCATAGTTAGAGACCAACCCCCATAATAATAAAGCCATTGTATGAAAAATTCGAGGTACTGTGCAATGGTTTGTAGCATCAAACAAATTCTACTAACCATTTTTATTTTCCAAATTTTCTATAATGTGTATATGCCATTTTTATAATCAGAAAATTGCTCTGTTTTAATGAAAGCACATGAATTTAAAAATAGAATTGATCAAAGCCAAAAACGCTCAAGGATTTTTGGTTTGTTTTTAACTCCTTTTTATATGCATGAAGAATATAGATCCATGGTGGTTCTGTCCAGGTGGGTGAAGGCAAGCTCCTTGCTCTGGGAAGAGAGGCACCCTGGAGCCATCTGATGGGAGACGTGAAAATACTGGTGCAATTTGGTTCTCCATATATGAAACTTGCAAAAGAAACAAGTTGGTAAAAGCACCAAGTGTCCCTGTCACGGGGTTAGTCAGGCATTCAGTGGTTATTTGTTTCACCAGCAACAATCAGCCCTAAACCTCTGGTGGATTAGTGGGTAAACAGTTGTGCTGCCAACCCAAAGCCAAACAGTTCTAATCCACCAGCTCCCCTGAGGGAAAAAGACAAGCCTTCTCCTTCCTTGGAATCTACAGTCTCTGAAAACCTGAAAGGTCAACTATGAGTGATTCTAACTCTAGGCACGTAGGCACAGCACAGAACGTAACATCAATCCCTCTTGACTGGGCTGAAAACTGCTTGCCCCAGTCGTGGCTCCTCCCTCTGTGGTGGGGCCACCCTCCTTGACTAGGGCTCAAAACCGCCTACCTGGCTACTGGCTCCTCCCTCTGCAGTGGGGTCAGCCTCCTTGACCAGAGCAAAGAGCACTCTCTGCTTGGATCTCCATCCACACTGACCATGGCCACCTTCATAGAGCTTAGTACCAAAGCCAAGATGCCCATCATGGGTCTGGGCACCTGGAAGGTAGGTGTGCATGAGGGTGGACCCCTGCTTCTCTCCTGACCACATGCCCGTCTCTCCGTTGGAAAGTCCTGCTGTAGGGTGGAGTTGGGGTGCCAGGGTCTAGTCCTGGAGTCAGGTCAGGGACTCCCCACTCCAAAGTGCCAGGATAGCTTCCTCCCCAGGATGTCAGGACACAGTTCCAAGCAGGTGTGGGGTAAGAAGCAGTTCTTTTCCAAGGCAGCTCTAGACTTCCCTCATCCTGCTGCTGCCTGGTTCTGGGACCTTCCAAGGAGCTCCGCCCTGTCCATCTTGGGTTTCCTGACAAGTGGGCAGTTGAGGGCAGGGGATGAGGCTCTCTGCCCTGTGGTGCTGGCTGTGTCAGTGAGGAATTAGTGAGAAATGCCGACTGTCAGGCCACCCAGGTCTTCAGCCCCAGAATCTGCACTTGAACACAGTACTCTCAGGATGAGTCTTGGGAACCTCACGGGGCAGTTCTTCTCTGTCCTATAGGGTCATTAAGAGTTGTAATCCACCCTGTGACAGTGGGCTTGGGAGTCAGCTATTGGGTAGGAAGCTCCGGTAGCCTAGTGGGTAAGGAGTTGTGCTGCCAATCAATCCAAAGGCAGGGCGTTCAAATCCACCAACTCCCCTGAGGGAGAAAGATGGGCAGTTTCCTTCCATGCGATTTACAGCCTCTGAAATCCTACTGGAGGGCCAGCTGTGAGTCAGTTCTGACTTGACAGCACCTAACATTCCTTCTAGGTTGTTTTTTTTTTAAAGTTGTATACAGCATTGATTTTATTGATCTTTTTTGGGGGGAGGTGTGGAGGCCTGATATGGCAGCATCACAGTTACTATAACAGAGCCATTAGTTGTGTGGCTTCGTCAACGTTCACTGGTCCTTTTTCATTCTGCTGGTGGGCAACCGATTGTTTGTGCAGAGGTTCAAGAGAAAGGCCTTTTGAGAAGTGTACAAGCTCCTTTTGTATATCTGTGAAAGCTTTATTTACTCTGTTGACTTTGTCTTCATGCACAATGTTTATCTTCTTAAGACTTGTAGTGACTGGCTTTGCTTTGCTTTTAGCCTTAAAGGTTTTTTGGCTTGCTATGTGAAACACATTCCTGGGCTTCTGCCCTCTTCGTTTATTCTTGGCCATGATCTTGGAGAAGTGCGCGTAGCCGGCTGCTCTCCTTCTAGGTTTTGAGTGGCATTTCTCATTTGTGCTGTGTGCTCTCTCCGTGAGGGCACACCCTGGGGTCCCAAAGCTGGGTGTCCTTAGGAAGGACATGGGGTCCCTGGGAGGGAGGGGAGAGGTGGATGAATTGCAGCGGACCGAGCCCCAGAGTTGTTCATCCCAAATGGGAACTTCATCCTCCTTACAGTCCTAACAGAGAATGGCCCCCAATCCCCAGTGTCTGCTCACACCAGAGCAGGGACCAGACGCCACCTTCAGAAGGAGATGTAAGCAGATAAAATCCACTTGGGGTCTAGGCCGATGTCCTTATCACGGGGATGCACTTGTCCTGGGGTCCAGGGGCGCAGGGGAGGGAGGGGCCAAGAACTGAGCTGTAGCCTCGTCCATTCTTGTGCCTTTGCTGCTGGTGAAGCTGTGAACGTGGTTTTGTCCACTTTTCGGTAAGTTTCTTATGTCACAATCAAACCTACTCACTGCTGTGGAGTTAATTCAGACTCACTGTGACCCCAAAGGACTGTGGAGACTTCCAGAAGGTTCTCAAGTCTGCCAACACTTATGGAGCTGACTTTGTTCCTCAAGTGACTGGTGAGGCCTTTGAACTGCCAACCTTCTGTTTGGCAACCAAGTCTTTTATCCACACCACCACATATGAAAAGGTTTAAACTTTTTTTTTTTTGTGGAAGCTCAAGTTCTTTTCTTTCTCTTGCTTGATGTGGGCAGGCTAAACTAAAGTGTAGGATTCTAATGCTATTTCCTTTTTTACCTTAAACGTAGGGGCAAAGCTTCTATTCCCTCAAGATTTTTTATCCCTCCTTTTCTGAGACAATGCTTATGCAATGGCTCGGCCGCTGAGCCTGCCTGGGTCCTCAGTGCGGCCCTCCGCCAGCCAGCCACTCCCAGGCAGGTACTCTTATCGCTGTCATTTGGGAAACAAGGTTTAGAGAGATTACATAATCAGCTCAAGGCCAAACCCCAAGCACGTGGTGGAGCCTGGATTTATCTGGGTGGACCGTCTTACAAGAGGGGCCAGTCGTGCTCGGCTGCTGGGTCGGACCCACCAGCTGGGAGAAGGACGTGACAGTCATGTTCTGTAAAGACCTCCAGGCTTTGCGACCCTGTGGGGACATTCCTCCCTGTCGTGTAGAGTTTCAGTGAGGAGGATTTGATCCAGTGACAGTGGACTTGACCTCACAAAACCTTAGCACCATTTGGAGAACTATTCTGTCAATTCCTTTGAGTCATTTCAGAGGAGAGTTTCAGTCTGGTCCTTACAAATGGGCACAGGGAGCAATGGGTCACCCCATCTTTGCAAAGGAGGCACTATGAGCTAGGGTCACCCCTCTTTACAAAACAGGATATGAGGATCCAAGATCACCCCATCTTTACAAAGGGGAGCCCAAGGCAAGCTCGGTGGCCTAGTGGCAAGAAGCTGCACTGTAATCCCAGAGGTATGCAGTTCAAATCCACCAGATGCTCTGCTGGAGAAGGAGGGACAATCTCCTCCTGTACCAGTCAGATCTGATTTGATAGTACACACACACAAAAATAATAAAATTTTAAAAAAATTAAAAGAAAAGAGAAAGAACCATCAACAACGGAGAGCCCGAGAAGCCACAGGTCCCCCACGCATCCCTGGAGCCCTGTCAGGACCGGATTAGGAAGGAGTCCACGCTTGGTGAGGACGGATCAAAGTCCTGGTCACGGAGTCAAGCCACTTTCCTTTTCTCATCTTTGAACTTTTCTTCAAAGCATATTCCCCACTCTGGTGGCTCCTGGAAATTGGAGTCCCTATGAGGCCCTGGTGAGGAGACTCGGGCCATGGAGAGGGGTCCTGGAAAGATGGTCAGGGATGGGAACGCCTGGTGATCCTGTTCTTCTCCTAGTCTTCCCCAGGGCAAGTCAAAGACGCTGTGCGGACAGCCATTGACGTGGGTTATCGCCTCATCGACTGTGCCTACGTGTACATGAACGAGAGTGAGGTGGGGGAGGCCATCCAGGAGAAGATCCAAGAGAAGGTCGTGAGGCGAGAGGACCTTTTCATTGTCAGCAAGGTGCCCGGGCCATGGGGTGGGAGGGTGGCCTCAGGGTGTGGACACAGGACCTCCTCATGTCAGCATGGTGCCTGGGGCCGTGAGGTGGGGAGGGTGACCTCAGGGTGTGGACACAGGACCTCTTCATGTCAGCAAGGTGCCCGGGGCTGTGGGGTGTGAGAGTGACCACAGGACATGGACAGGAGGACCTCTTCATGTGAGCAA